AGGTTTTTAAATTCTTTGATTTTATAATGTAAAACTGTAGTGCATAAGTAAGAATAGGAACACTGAGATTCCACCAGAAAATTAATTAATTTGCTGTTGAATAAAATAACTGTATTCTGGGTTTGCAATTTTCCAGTAAAATAGTATTGAAAATTTTGAAAAATCAGACTGTTTTCATGAGGCCAAAAGAATAGTTAGCTGGAGGGTCAGTATCCATTTAAAGGCATTTTTTTTTGCTTGTAATACATGCTCACATTTAAACTTTAAACTACTTAATGAGAGCAACATACATTTCTAGATACTCAGAGTCTTATTCCCAGGCTATAGTGTCTAGTGCCTCACAGGCTGCCAGGAGGATTTGAAGCACCGATCTGAAGGCAGGTCTTCTGCCTCATGCTTCTTTTCTACAGCACTTTCTTTTGCTCACATATTCCTTCCAACTCCTATCTTTCTATCTCCTTCATCAAATCCTGTTCTTAGTCTTGGATTGCCTCAAAACGACTTAGGAACCCTTGGACCTTCCAAGGATGGAGAACGTGGACGCAAATCCTGGAAGGTCACTGCCTCTTGGCAGGCTTTTTGCTGAAGGAAGACAGTCTTTCACTGCTGCCTCCTCTCTCATCAATGTTCAAATATGCTGTAGTTTCTCCAGAGCAAACTTCAGGTTACTTGGGCATATGGACTGCTGTCAAATTTAGCACCTTCCTTGGCTAGGTTTTAGAATACAAAATATAATTTCAAAGTTTTGGTATTCTAGGTTTAATGCAGCAGTTATATCCTTACCAGACAGTTTTTTCAGGTGCTAAACATTTTGTCAGGGGGTGAGGTGGATCTAGCACCTCAGTCAGTGTCCATTTCTGTTCCAAGATATGTTCAGTTGGGACTTTTAATAACATGATCAGTGATTGACACTGCATGTAAAGCAAGGGAAGTCACAATACAATTTCTGCCATTAAGGCAGGGAAGAAGATGAATGAACTAGATGTCATGAAGTATTTACAGGAGTTGAGCTTCCTTATTTGTGGCTAGGTATTGCTTTTCATTTCACAAGACAGAGGAAAAAGTGAAGCATTGTTTTTCACTTAATTTTTGCAAGTTTCTGGTCATCCTGTCATGCATAATACTTAGCTTCTAAAACCAAATTGGCATAAATCAAGATTTTTCAATTGCTAAATGTTGTTCCTTATTGTGTCAGGATTTTCTAGGGATGCTTTTAAAATAATTTTACTGGTTTGGAAGAAAATTCAGAGTTTTGAATTTAATAATATTTTGTGGAAATGGTTTGAAATTGCATAATGGTTATAAGTCTTTATAAGAGACAAAGACAATATAGCGCATGTGCATGTTTTCAGATTTCAGGCAGAATAATGAGATAGGAAGAATTTCAGAAAGTTAATCTAAAGTGAAGAATGCATGAGAGAAGCTCATACTCCTGAGTCCGCCAATAACTTTTTGCAAAAGTCATAAAATGAAAAACTGGAAAATATTTATTACTTATGTAAAGTTAGGAATGTCTGGCAATGAAGTTGTAGACAAATAAAATTAAGAAAATTGTGACCAATGCTACTCCTATTGAATCGAAGAAATAAATTTTGACTATGGGGTGCATCTGGCTTCCTTTCATGCCAACAGAAATTAGCCATTGATGCCCAGGGGAATTAAATGGAACCTGCCTGATACAGTTTGTTTTGACTATTCATTCAGTACTTTTTAATGAAGCAACTAAACTAGGCATAACTTGCTACAGTTCCAATGAACATATTGCAAATTATTAAAATGATAAAAGTATGTAGCCTTAAATGCTGTCTTAGAAGACTGTGATCCAAAGAGCCTTGGAAAGTCCTAATGCAAGTGAATATTCTGAAAAGCAATTCCTCGCTGTTATTTTGCAGGGAAAATATAATAGTAATAATATAGCTCTTTAGCCATAAAATATTAGTTTATATTTTGAAGTAAAACAAATTGTTTGTTGTATTTAAGCTATATTTGTCTGATGTTTCCTAAACGTCTCTGAATCACTCACTTGAAATGAGAAAAACCTGAAAAGGCTGTCTTTGAAACCTAGGATAACTAACATCTTTGAAGAACAGTGGGCTAAATTGTACTACTCAGTTTATTTAACTTTTATTTAACTATTGAAAATATGTGTTCAGTTTTCAAATATTCTCTAAATTTCTGTATGACTTCAGATCATGTGGCTTTCTTGTGTTTACCTGCTTCAACATATGACAGTTTCAAGCAGCCTTGTATTTTTAAATACAATATTTGTAATTTGTCTGGCTCTCACTGAAGTTCACACATGTTTATAACATTTCACTGTGTTTCTTTCACCACCATTACTAGTAACTAGTATACAATATTTAATCATAACTATTAAAAAAATTGAAATTTAACAACTTGCTCTAGCTAGTGAAGAAGTTATCTCAGACATCATTGTACATATACTATATTGGAACAAGAACAATGAATGAACTAAAAGTTTACCAAGGCTTCTGAAAATGGATAAATAAAAATTGCCACTCAATATAGTAGTGAGAAATGTAAAGGAATTCCAGGGGCCAAATTATGTGGATTTTGTAAGGAAAAAAAAAAAAAAAAGAAAAAGAAAAAGAAAAAAAGCTTTTTATCAAAATCAAGCTAAGAATGAATAATGAGATTTTTTTCCCCATTGTCAAAAGCACCACACAAATCCCATATAAAGATGACTCAGAATCCCCTGTAATAGTGTAAGGTATTTTGAATGCACAGTATAGCAAGTAGATAGCTTGTTGTTTACCTAATAAAGTTTTGATTGGTGTTAAGATGCAGCTTGAAAACAATTAAATCTAAAAATCATATTGGCAGAACCAAGAACAAGGTGTCTTGACAATATGAAAAGAGAGTGCATGCCTCCTCTTGAAATTCACCTGTTTTTTGTTCCTGCTGCTGGTGAATCTCCAGTAGAGATTCATCTAGCAGCAGGAACAAAAAACAGGTGAATTTCAAGAGAGTGCATGCACTCACATGCAAGAGTAGATGGAATCTGCTATCTCTCCTAGTTGCTTTTGTAAAAGCCATAAGCACTATTCACTAGATGCCATATTAGATAACAGGTAAATTATACCTATTATGAGATAAGATTTCCTAACATGCTTTGCAGTGATGCGTAAGAGTTGTTTTATTGCAATTACCTCAGAAACTTTTGAACGTGAGGAACAGATTGAAGAGATGGTTTGTGGGAAAATCCATAGAAGAGAATCGTGGAGGCAAGCCTAACTGCCACCAACCATATCTGCTAAAATCTCAATCAAAAAGAAAACATGCCACTGTAATTTCCATGTCTTGTGAAAAGATGGAGAGCATGTAACTGTTACTGAAAGGTGTGCTGATATTAGCAGACTAAAAGCCAAGTAATTGCTAAAAGTTTCTGGATGAGATCCTACATGAGTATTAACAACTTTGCATGCAGTATATAAATTGCATAAATACAATGGTCAGGAATACAAACACCACATAGTATCTTAGGAATTAAGAATTTTCCTTTTTTTAAAAAACTGACCCTGTCTTCACTACAGTGATGCAGTTAAAATTCACCATGGTCAAGTAAATCTAGACTTTTGCAATATTAGCAGAATTGATTCTTTCATGTCTGTCAGTTGCAATTCAAACAGGTGTTTGAAAGAGGCTAACCACAAGAACTTGATTCCTCTAAACCCTGGAACCTTGTTCCCCAAGAATAAAGCTTTGCCAGTTTGCACTAACAGCGGGCACTTCACTTGTATCTTTCCTACAATGAATGCAAAAGATATCATACTTATGATCTCAGACCTAATAGAACTTAGTCTAACAATTCATATAGTAACAAATAAAACTATTTTGGTATGTCCGTATTAAATTAAACAGTATGAACTATGTATCCCATTTTGATTTATGAGGTCGATATAGTAACTTTGTATGGATACCTTTTAGTTAAAAATCAGAGGCTTTTTTATCATTTTAGGCTTGGAGCTAGGAACTGCAACCCTTGATAACAGGGACTTGTTTCTAAGATCTCTTACTGAGCTCCGATTATGTTCCATGATCTATCATACAGGAAAAAAAGAAAACAAAACAGTCATTGAAAAGATCCCCTAGAAGTTTTGTTTGTTTGGGTGGTTTTTCTTGGGGTTTGTTTTTTTTTTTTTTGTTTTTTTTTGTTTCTTTTGTTTGTTTTGGGGGGGGGTTGCTTGTTTGGATTTTTGTTTCTTTGGGGACAAACATCAGTTTGTCTATCAGTTAATCAGGGGGAGAGTTGTGAGTCGTGAAATCCTGCTGGCCGCAGAACACACCGGTTTCTGTAGAACCTTCTCCTAGTCTCACACCGGAAAACAAATTGCTTCCGACGTCCAGATTCACTCTTTAATGAGAAAATGACTCACCACCAAACTTTCCCATTCCCGTCGGAAATGAAGTTTTGGGAGGATGGTCACACCGTGGTGACCGAGCGCCTTCGCCCTTCTCCCCGGAGACGCAGCCTCCTCACTAACAACGCCACACAGGGTGATTCTCTGCGCCCGCTGCCTTTCTCCACACGCTCCAGAGCTCTGCAAGCCGGTCCCATCCTTGCACCACCACGCCCAGCCTCGCCCGCCGGGCAGGACCCGCCGGCGATCGCAGGGCGAGCACAAGTTGCGGCGCGGAGCCCACGGAGGCAGCGCGGCCGGGCTGGGCCGGGCTGGGCCGGGCGGCGGCGGCACCCGGGGCCACCCGCGGCGGCGGAGCCGGGCGAGCCGCGGCGATTGGCGGCGGCGCTGACAGCGGGCGGGGCGGCGGCGGCGGCACCGCCCACCCCCCGCTATAAGCCTCTTTGCCGCTTTCTCACTGGGTCTCATTTTCGCTTCGTGCGTTGCTGTGGCTGCGCAGTGGAAATCCGCACCGGGGAGCTGCTGAGGGGCGCCGTTGTCATGTGAAAGCGCACATGCTCTGCCATCCACGCGGCACCCCCCTCTCTTCTGCCTCCGCGTGTTTTTGCTGTTTTTTTCTAACGTAACTCCTTTCCTCCTCCTCCTGTGCTCAGCCCCTCGCCGCCGCTCGGCTGCCCAGGCGCCCCCCGCAGAGGCTCTGCCGCTGGCAGTCGCGGGGCGGCCGCCCCGGAGCAGCGCGCCCGGCGGCGGGGAGCCCGCGGAGCCGCGCCCCGCGGAGCCGCCCCGGAGGTATGGTTTTCCCGGCGGAGCAGAGCTGCGCCCGCTGCCACCTTCGCGGGTGTTGAGACGGGATTTGTGCGGTGCGGTTCCTGGGCTCCTAGCTTCATGACTGCGCGGAGCGGGGAACCAACACCATGCGAGGTAAGCGGGCCGGGGGGCGGCTCTCTTTTGGGAAACCCTTTGGGGAACGGGCTGGAAAAGAGCCTTCGTACTCGGGGAGAGGGTCCGGGGGAGAAAGTTGATGGGTCTTGCCCGCGCGCCGGCGTGGCTACTGACGGTGTGATTCCTGCACCAGCGGGGGCCTCGACCCAGACCGAGGAGCCTTCCGCGGCAGATGGTGGGAGGACACCCCTCGCGTACTGTCCCGGGGAGCCCAGCGCCGCGCTGGCCCGTGGCGGGCAGGCAGAAGGGAGGCGCAGGTTGTTGGCAGTGTCTGTGTTGTGAGGCCCCACCTGCAGCTGCCCGCGGGGCGCGGCAGGTGTCCCGTACGGCGGAACCCGCTGCCGCTTGGTCCCGGGTCGCTGCCAGCAGAGGGTCTCCCCCCTTTTCTCCCCAAAAGTTATCCGGACTTTGTTCCCCAACCGGCACCGTCGCCTGGAGGCCCCCGTTCCCCATGGGTTGCTAATTGGGCGGCAAGGCTTGCGCTCCCCGGGAGCCCTCTCCCCGTGCCCGCAGGTCACTTCAGGTCCCCGAGCCTGTGCTGCCTGCGCAGTCCGATCGTGGAGTACGGGGGAAATTCCTCCGGGGCTTGCAGCCGCACTCGGTGAGGGTCCCGCCAGAGCACAGAGTACCGTCACCGGCGGGACACTCTCAGGCATGGAGAGCTCTGTCTGTCCAGTTCGGCTGGAGAGAGGTTTTATGCTGGCACGCCGGGCACCCGAGTGGGGGGTGTGTAGGGTTGCGGAGCACATGGGAATGCGTTGTTTCCGTGTCTCCCAGGACCAGGTTCCCCTGGGCCCCATCCCCGAGCCAGGCGAGCACCGGCACCGGGGCAAGAACAATCCCTGTTAGCCTCGGGCGTCCGCGGGCTTTAACAGCTCCTCCGCCCCCCATCTTCCACCTTGCCCTTTGTCACCCAGTTTGGCAGAGAGGTTGCTTGCCTCACCCATGGCTTGGTAAAAGCCACAAAAAGTAGTCTCTACGGGGGTATTGGAACGGAGGAGAAGAGCTTATGGGGGTGGGACGCGCTCGGGGTTGACAGCGGCACTGCATGCAGATTCTTGATCATGCGTTTAAGGATAGGACACACACACGCGTACTATGAAGAACTTCTAGCTAGAATTTTAGCTTGTTTGATGTCATCTCCTGTAACAGCATGTGTTAACAGTGCTAACAAACCATACCTGTGTAATTGGCTTTAAAAGAATTGTAGCTATGATATTTGCACAGATCGATTTAAAAAAGACCTTTTCCCCCAGCCTTCTTTGTTAGGGTGTTGGTTGTGGGGCATCTGGCAAGAACTTGCTAAACGGTGTTTGTTTTTTCTTAAGAGCAACAGGCCACAAGGGAAAACACTCCATTCTGTAAAGTAGCCCCTGTTGCAGCTTTGCAGCTTGGTTGGAGGTTTCCTATTTGTTTGAGTATGGGGGTTTGTGGGTTTTAGTATTGTTTTTGGTTTTTGTTTGGGTTTTTTCGGTCTTTGTTTTTCTGCGCACCAGACCGCATCCAATTTGAGTAAAGCTGGTCATTGTCTCAAGGGGTTATTTTTCAAAACGTGCCCATCCAGTGACCTCTGGTCAGGAGCCCCAACTCCCCATTCTGTTCATCCTCACAACCCGTGGCTCCCACCTCTCCTCCCCTGCTCTGGGGTGGCCTGTGCAAAGGTGAGGAGTAATGTCCAGCCTCTCCTCAGAGGCTTTCCTTCTAAACAAGGCCCAGAGTGGTCTAGCTGTGCTGGGCAGGTAGAGGAAGGCAGATCTTGCTATACATGTTGTTGCATCTCCAGCAGGATCTGCCCCAGCTCCGTAGTCATCACTGCCACCCCTTTAGCTGTGCTGTCAGCCACTGTGAAGAGGTGCAGCTCTGCCCCTAGAATGCAAATTAGTATTTGCATTGTATTTATGCTTACCCAATAGGGAATTTACAGGTGTGGGAAAAAGGGCTGGGATGGATGGAAGAGAAAGACAAACAGGCAACTTTCGTTCTTGTTTGAAACTTACATGCAAGAGGTTGGTAAAATGAAGTTTCACAACAGGTGTGTGTCAAGGCAAGAGCATTGATTCATACCACCTCAATTAAAAAAGGAGCATTACGCATTGATTGAGCATCTTTGCAGCTTTCCAAATAATGGAAATAAACAAGTGTCACAGTTCAGATTGTGAGCTCCCATGAACTGGCACTTTTAGAGAGCTGTGAGCCTTCTTGTAAGGGTGTAGTTGTTTTCAACTGTATTTGCAGTTGGTTTGAAGGAGGAAGCACTCAGGCTTGAACATGTGAGCTGTTCCCCCAAACTTTCCCAGCTGAGCTGTGATCCTTCCAAGCTGCAGTTGGTGCAGTTAGCACAACATACATTGAATGTTCAGGGGCTGCTCCACGTTGGAATGGAGGCCAAAAAGTGCCTGAAAATACCCAACCTGTGTTACTACCTGCTGAATCCCAAAGCACTGGACAGTCACATAGACTGTCAGTTGTCCCATCCCGTGGAAGCCAAGCTAATGTTTTCAGCTGTTGTTACAGTCATTGGTGATCTTCTATCCAAAATAATAAGTTTCTGCACTTCAAACCTTGATTTCAATCCCATGAAGCATATGTAGCCATACTGAATTACAGCAGAAAAATATACAGGACACTGAGCATTTGTTGATATGGAAGGTCCAGATATTTCCCTCTGAATGGAAAATGGAATTTTTATGGAGTTGATGACTTTTATACCAGTATTTTATAGAAGTAAACATAGGTGTAAAAGAAGTTTACAGTGAGCATTCATCACAGTCTTCCTTCCATCTGTCCCACTCCTGGCAACATCCTGTGAAGGAGTTAAGAACATAGAATGTGTGCTTCAGTATATTTTTTAGAAAAAGAGAACAGAAAAAGCACTAAAATGATTGTGCTATTTAACTGAAAAAGAAGACTTACATTTTTCCTTGTAGTTTATTTCTTACTAAAATGATTTGTAAAGTTTAAGGCTAATAAAAGTTAGTCAATTCTGTGTATAATGCAGCTGTTACGCAAACATGGAAGGTTGACTGTGTCAAAAAAAAGGTCAAAATATCTACTTTTACTCTGGGAATATGCTACTCATGCACATACAAAAGTCAATTTTGTGATTGTATCTATTTGAGTTGTGAAAGTGGCATTAGTACACAAGTACTCCGCTTATTACAAAAGTAATATTTAAACTTTTAGTTGAAAATCTTACTAAAAGCTTTTTTTGTTACATTTTAAAGAAAGAAGCACCACAACCCCCTGAGACCAAGTTATTTGAGTTTTCTGTGTAGTTTTTTCTTGTTGGTGCCAGGATGAGCAATAACACATGTTGCGTGATGTTATGTAGTTACTCCATTCTCTTAGCATGACTGAAATATTTGTAAGAAATTAGAAAAGCGATCAGACAAATTCTATATGAAGTATTTCTAAGTGAGTTTATTATGTAACACATACAAAAAGACTGGCTGGCTTAGAAGTTCTCCTTAATTGAGTAGATGAGTGCGGGTAATCTTTATAGACTCATTAGCTTCAAAGGAAAATTATTTTGCAGTTTATTCCAGGAAAAGTTAATAAGTCTCTATTTGTAATATGTAACATTAATTTTCTAAAACACATTGATTGCATTGAGTATATAAAGAAAGGATTTGGGGCCTTACCCCACCATTGTAAAACCAATTTGTCCTCAAAGTGTAGTGCATCTAGCACCTCCTTAATTGAATCAGGTTATTTGACTTCTTTGGGACTCCTTGATATGTGGTAAAGCACAAGTTTCTGGTGTTAGGTGTTCACAGGTAAAATTTAATAAATTTAGTAAATGCTTTGAAAAGCATGAGTCAGTAGTACACTGTGTCGCACAGTAAAAAATACAGATGTATGTAGTCAATAAAGAGTGACACCCCTCTAGAATAAACAAAAATAAAAAGGAAAACATGAGTGCCCATTTGTACCTCAGCAATAATTTTACTTTGCATTAGATCGTACTTGCATTCCATACAGTATCTTCCATTTATCTCTAATTGTAATATGCTACAGTATTGGGGATCAAAGGAGAGTGCATAACGAAAGTTCATCAATAGATAACTGTATTATTTAATAGCATACAGATATTATATAAGAATTTTTTCATAATATAATTTTTTTAAAGTTACATTTGTTTTTCATAGATGGAAATCTGGTGACAGTTAATTTAAAAACTGCAAAAAAATACCGTGTGCACTGGCTGACAATGAATTCTCTTTTGTGTTATGGAAAATATCTGACTTCCACTGTTGGTCTTTTACAAATCCAGTAGCAAGCAGTAAGCTGGTATGATTTGTCTAATTTGACAGTGCAGTAGTAAAGGTCATTTAAATTGTGTATTATGGTTAAAAACTATTTATGGCATTTGAGGAGTGAATCTATCAGGAAAAAAAATTTCTGAGTGGACAAGAATTCTGGAAGTCATAATTCCTGTTTAAAATGAACTTGTGGTAATTTGCGGAAAGTCTTTAGGGCGCTATGGAAGGGATGGCTGTAAATCATAGTGATGTTTGCCTCCTCAAAAGAGTGTAGGTAAGGTATACCTTTAACAGTACTGAGTTTTATTAAACAATTTCACGACTCAGAGTCTGCTGTAGTGTGCACACTGGTTACCTGATACAGGAAAACCGTTCAAGGGGGTGAAAGATTCCCAAGTTATCCAAGAAATTCCTTCCTCACAAGTGGTGCAGTGAGTTTCCAGAAATTAAGGTCTGGACTGCAAAATAGAAGAATGTGTGCTTTGTAGCTGAGGATTCACGCAGGAATAAATATTGATTGAACTAATCATCTGGTGAATAGAAATGAGCTTTATCAGTACAGCTGTATAGTGGCTTACGTTAACTAGCTGTTTTGTAGTCCATACCCTGCCCTTTCAACCCATGACCCTGTCAATTTTTTCTTTTAATGAACAAAATCACAGGTGTTACATTTATGGTAAATTGTGCTAAATATATTAGTTGTTCCAGTTTCAAAAC